TATATATATATATATATATATATATATATATTAAAGAAGAAACCAAATGTAATGAGGTGGCACCTTCTAATGCTTAAAACCCCTCCTATTTTTTTCTCATTTTTTTGATTTTTTTAAATGTTGAATATGTTAAAGACTTTTCTGCCCCTGGATGAAAAATGTATAGCTCATAATTAACACGGTTTATTTTTGTAATTTTGTATACCCAAGTTTAACCTCAAACTCTTGATTTGCTCTTTCATTTACTTTCTTTTTATTTCTTAATGAAATTTGTTTTTTAAAGTTTCAATAATAAACAAAATGAAATCATATAAAATCATTTAGCGAGGGATGAAGAAGGTGAGAGTTGAAGAAGAATTCAAATATTTAAAAAGGTATGTAGAAATTATATTCATTAAACAAATGTGATTTGTTATTACATATTTCTTTTTCAATATTGTTGGATGTGTTGTTATCATAGGATATGACTGTGTTTACGATTGGATCATATAAATTCGAATAAAATTTTGATATTTTATAATCACAGGATATGATAAACTTTTTTCGAATTTAAGCTTCATCAACAATAACTATTTATACACAACAACTATTTATTCATCTCTATCTCTCACACCATCTCAAATTCTATCTTTATCTTATACATCTTTAAATTTATTTTATTTCTCTTTGGTTTTTCTTTTATTTTACTATTGATAATCTTCATAGTTTTTTTTTTTTCACTTCTCCCATAATTTTATGTATGTTTGTATTGTTATTTAGATTGCATTATAGTTTTTATGCATTATGTCATGAAGATTTGAAGAAGTTTCAAGTTCTTTGGTTTTTCTTCTATTTTACTATTGATAATCTTCATAGTTTTGTTTTTTTGTTTTTTCACTTCTCTCATAATTTTATGTATGTATATATCGTTATTTAGATTGCATTATAGTTTTTATGCATTATGTCATAAAGTTTTGAAGAAGTATTCAAGTTCAATATTTGATTTTTTGGTTGCAATATAAGGTAATAATTTTATATTGATTTGTTTCATGATTTTGATTGCATTATAATTTTATTTATGTTTGTATCGTGATTTTTGTTTGCTTTATAACTCTTATGTATTATTATATATATTAAAGAATAAACCATGAGTGTTTGAAGTGGCATCTCCTAAAGCTTAGAACCTCATTTTTTTTCTCCTTTATTCTCTCAATATGCACTACTATATATATTTTTTTTGTCAATTTATGTTTTTTTTGTTAAATGTTTGCATTCAACTCCAAACCATTCATCTCCTTCTATATTAATTCAAATGACATAACTCCAAACCCTTCATCTTTTCCCATCAATCATTTATTTATATACATATAAACAACAACTATTTATTCATCTT